CAAATGTTTGTTTATCTAGTCCAGGAGTGGGTAACCTTTTTCGGCTCGCGTGTCGGTTCGGCTAATTTTAACGACAAAATTCATTTGCGTGCCGAGCAAAACTAAAAACAATGCTTTGCTACTTTCAAAGCAAAAATACGCAATAACAAACACGTACGGTCAAATTCACAATTCGGTAAAATATCAGTAAGTGCTGCTGCATTACCGATGATTGAGATTTTACATTGGGTTTATATTTTGTAACTTTCAAAGAAATACACGACCTATCATTTTAAGCTACACTCTTGTTACGAGACTTAAAACAAGTATATGTAGATAAAAACATAGAGAGTAATGCAGTTGCAGAGTTTTAAGAACACGAAAATTTTTCGGGAATGGCATCTCAATATTTTGTTTTCTGCACTTCTCTCTTGTATTCCCCTCCCTAATCGTTTATATTTATTTTGAAATCAATTTACAACAGTGAGTTAGCTAGTAACTCTAACCAACATGAGCTGTACAACTTCATAAATTAGGCAGAAATGAAGAAAAGGATGGCACAGACGAACTATATTGCGTAAGAATGCAGCCAAATTAATGCTGCGTTCTTCTCGACAAAATTTCTCGAGAGCTCACTCATTTGTTACGCCATAATATAATATTTTGTAGCCCTATGTCATGAACGGTAAAAGAGAGTTCAAATAAATAACGGATTGTTAACATACGTTAATGAATAAATGAACAACTATAGTTTCATCAGATAATTCAGAGAGTCTCGAAACTTTTTATCTGAAAGAGAATGATCTCGTTTCCGAGGCCTCGCTCGCGTGCCGATTAAATGGGCACGCGTGCCAAGTTTGGCACGCGTGCCAGAGGTTGTCCACCCCTGATCTAGTCGATAGCGCGAAATCTTTCCTTTGAGTATTTTACAAATCTATGTTTAGCAGTTATTTTAAATAAAAACCTGTAAGCCCTAGTAATATTTGTCGAAAGGAAATTGAAATAAAACACTGTCTTATTTTTGGGGAAACACGATATACAATTTTTGAATGCTAAAGCAATAATGAATCAAATTCTTTATCTTAGTTATACGGTTATTTTGGAACTGATGTAAGCGTATTTTCTAAGTTAATCATATGAATCTGAAGATTTGCATCTGAATTCAGATTTAGGTAGGGATTTGTTCAAAAAGAATTGTTTTAAATCTAATTTTTTTTCCTTATTTTGTTTAAAACGGCTGTATTAATTGATTTTTTGTATTTAATTTGTTAAACTAAATCGGGAAAATCGATGTAAACACTTGCCAGGAGCCTCTCATTTGCAATAAATCCTCGAAACGCCACAAATATCGATGACTTGGCCATACACGCCTTTTCAATGCGCCCGCAAACGTGGTAGGCAGAGGAAGACGCAATCGATCCGCCATAGCGTGAACCACCCTGCCACGACGAGAAGTTCAGAAATTCTATAGCACATTGTCACATCTCTCATTGGATTCGAACCTGGGCCGGGTATATTATATTGAGCAAGGTAGGTTGGCTCAGGGTGCTCAAACTTCGAGGACCTTGACAATAAATTTTGAATATTGTTTCTTTTTTTATCGTTTTTTTTAAATTGTGAAGGCTTATTTCAGAATAATGCCAGTTTAAAAGCTTCATAGTTATCATATTTTATATTCAGGTTAATAATTATTGTTCTAAATATTCACTGTCAACTTCAAAAAATTAAAAATTGAGATACGGCCGAATGATTGAATTTGTAAAAACTCTATTCCTTTAAACTTAAAAAAAGTATGCTAATTTAATCGAATGGTTTTAGGCGTCATAATGCCTTTATTTTATGGGAAAAAAATGTCAATACATAAACTTGAAGTTCTTATTATAAAGTCAAAACGTATTAGTTGTGACGTCATTGTAGCAGAGAAGTATTATAATTAGCATAGCTCAAGCAACGTTGTCTCATCGTCTAAACCCGTAGGTTGTCGCCAATCTAACTATATACCTCCATTATCTTAAACATGTTTTGGCCAAGGCTGCTCTTAATCCAATTGCTTCTGGATTCTAGGCTCGTGAGCTATGTTTCATCATTTTTCTTACTTGGATAAACATTCCTGTTAATTTTAACCTTTTGAATTTGGTACAGGTACTAACTTGGCAATAAAGTTACGCAATGGAAATGAAAGTCAAAGCAAGGATTTTTTGGGGTATGGAGCTTGTTAATCGGATTATTTTCAACAACTTCACATGAAGCTAATTAGCCCGAGGTCAAACACACACAGTTTTACCTATTATGTCTGAAATTTTGATATTCCAATGCACTCTAAGCTTATTAATGCAATGTTTATAATATTCATCGAGTTGTCGATTATGGGACAGATTCTACTAAACGATTCCTAAATGTTCGGACCCCTGGAAAGTGATAAGGATCTAGATTACAAACAAATTCCACGCAATATCTCTCATGCTTTATGCCAGGAGTTCGTCACCCGCGTCTCATTTGCTGGTATATCGGTAGCAATTAGTGGTCGCATTTGTATGTTGACTTTGATGTTGTTCTCGTATAAAAATAACCGGAACATGTTTATTACATTACTAACGTCATTGAATTGACTAAGGTTATAAGCCAACTTAGACAGTCAGTAGATAAAAGAGATTCTGGAAGAGTGTGTTCGGCTGCCCTAGATTGTTAATTATTAATTAAGTAAATTGTTAAGTCAGTTGTTTGACAGCCTAAAATAACTAAGAGCTTCCAGAAGTTGATTCTATTTACTTCGGTTGGCTATGCCTAGCGATAGCTGTTATGACTTCGAATGTTTGTACAACCCGACCAAGATCTTTATCGTTTTATGACACCACCTGAAAAATATATTGTGAAAGGTTATTGAATCACTGAAATGACCTAGTAATTACTGTATACTTGCAATAGTTAATATATTATGTCTTCATTACTTTACTGCAACTATCTTTCTCAATTTATAAATTTTGTATCTTTATATGACAAACATTCATTACTGTATTTACTTTAATGTAGTGAATGAGTTCATATTTGATTTCTGTAATTCAGCGATTCCCAAACTTTAGTCGCCCGCGTACCATTTCGAGATTTTGTGGAGTGCCGCGTACCACCTTCATTAGTAACGCGCGCTAAAAGCGGCGATATTTCCCACCATTGTGACGTCAGAATAGCGTATTTTATCCATCAAAAATGTAAGAACAAATTCTATTAAACTAGGCCGCATCAGCCAAGGTTGATGAAGAAGAACAACAGAATGAAATAACAACAGAACAATCATTTATTCAATGCGATGGCTGAATTTGTTTATTTTCTACGAGCTGGTCGATACGTGGCATACTGTTGTAAAGCGCAAATTATTCTTTTAATGGACCACGTCTGCATTGATATACAGTATATCTGCACGAGAGATTACCACTCCAGCACTGAGTACGGTACCGTACCGTTACCGGTACTACGTTACCGTATCTCGTTTAATTTAAATTTAGCGCCACAGATATTCGGTCTTTCTATTTAATGCTACAAGATTTTATTACCTGTTTTCTTTGCTTTCAATATCCACCGCGACCTAATTGAATGCCAGTGTTACGCCTTCAGAATCCGACGTTTATTTATGGTTACTAGGTTAGTGTTTCGAGTCGTGTTTTGTTGAAGCGAGCGACTGTTGATTATAGCAGATTGCCTCGAGATATTGTATGCATTTTCTTTTTCAATTTACTTATACTTGATTCGACTTTTTCTTATTTATAATATAGTGTCAGTTATTTTTATAGTGCGCTGCTCGAACCCACTGATTTCTTCGCGTGCTTTCACCCTGTAATATGGCCTATTTATAATTCATTGCTATTTGCATGTTTGCGCCTATTTAAACTATGGTTATATATAAACTACTTATTATTGAGTGTTCGCAATGAGGCTATCTCTAGCCGCTTACACGTATCAGAATTTCAGACCTCTGTCTAGCTGGTTAATCAGGGAATACCCTACGAGTTATCCGGTAGAATGGGATTTTCAAGCCTGTACATTTTATTCTTAAAACTTAACTTCCGAGCTTCCAAATTAAATTAGATGGAAAATCTTGGGTGTCGCTGCTCGATAACCAAATTTGGTTCCCCGCGGCTTTCCTTCCCCAGTAAAAATGTGTGTTAAATTTTGTTTATTTTTTTGATTTTGTATGTTATTTTTTTGCTGGTTGAAAAAAATAAAATTGACTATTGACAATAAACATCCTGTCGCATTTGCTTTTTGTAACCAGCTTAAAACAGTATATATCACAAAAATCGCTGCCTGTTTTATATCGTACAGTTCACCTATTCTTGGAATGCGTGGATTACCTATTTTTCTTACCACTTTGACCCGCGATTAATACAAATAAAATATTGTGGCCCGAATTGCCGACCGACAACCTTGAACCACCCTGGTTTAGACTTCTGTGCTAAGACAAACTGAAGGCTATTCTAAGGCTTACACCAGGGGTCGGCAACCTACGGCCCGCGAAGACTCGCTGAATTATAGTAACAAAACGGCTGTTTTGACGATTATATTCTTTACGTAACAGAATTTATTTTAAGACACGTGTAAACTAAATTATATTATAACCTATCTAATATATATATAGTTCACAATTACTCGCTTAATGAGCCTATAATTTAATTATAATTAGACAAATGGCAACAAAACGCAGAAAAGTTGATGCTAAGTGCAAATAGTTTAATTGTGCAGAAAATATTCAAATGTTCAGTCTTCGTGCGCTGCTTAACATGTAACTTCTGATCTGTATGAAAATTTTGATTCATCGGCAATCCGTTCGGTTTTTAACTTCCAAAAATATGTGCTGCCCACCAATGACATGTAACTTGTAATTTTGCCCCACGAGCGACAAAAGGTTGCCGACCTCTGCTGGCTTACACATTAAAATATCTGTCTGTTTGAAAAAAAATAATCCACGGTTTTGTGTATCCTTCATATTCTTTTATCTACATTAAAATTAACATTTTAAAAAGAATCCAAAAATGTACTTTTGAAAAAAATTAGCCGATTAGTACAGAACATCTAGCCAAACACAGATTAGCTTACAAGATTATTGTGATTTTTTTCACGCTGTAAGGATTAGCTAAAGGTATAAACCGGCTTTCATTCTTGTAATAACTTTAGGATTCTTTCTCCTTCACTTTTTCCTGTCGAAAATGCTCCATCTACCGTGCTGTACCTCGGTATACTCAAAGCTTCTCCCGCAAAAAAAACTCTTGGCATTCCGTTAACGTATAAAGGTTCTCGTACTTTTTTCTGGTGACTTGAAATTTGTCCAATTGCCGGATAGCTGTAGGTGCCAAGAAAATATTTATCCCTGTGCCATTCGGTTTGTATGATGTCATCAGGACCTGGTAATTTCGGATTGTTCAGGAATCGTCTTAACAAATTTGTAACAGTCAATTTGAGTTCACTTTCAGGTGTTCTACGTATCCGATTTGAGATTCTTTTATTTATCCAAAGCATGAGAAAATTCGTTTTGTAGCTTGTGATCTTATATACACCCCGACACCAATGATTTTTGATAGAAAACTCGTCTTCAGGTATTGTACCAGTTGATCCATCGTACGAATCCCATAAAAGATACCTATCAGAAAATTTTTCGGGGCCCCAAAAAGGATTTTCGTAATAAAGCAGCATTTTATTGATTGTGCCAAAACCTATGCTCTTTATAGCGGCCTGTTTATCCTCCGGTAAATTTGGATCAAAGAAAGTTTTGTGATATTTTTTGAGACAGCCGATCGAAACCGTCACGAGTACGATATCAGCGTGAATTACTTCAGTCTTGTTAAATTGATTTAGATACGTTATCGTGACTCCATTTCCTTTTTTCTTGTTCCACTGTATACCTTGAACTTTGCTATTCAACTTGATTGCACTTTTTGGAATATTTTTACTCAATTTTGTTGGCAAACTTATGTATCCATCCAAAACTTTTACATCGTTGTCACCATACTCCTCATATTGGTACCATGCTAGGTGATTAACAACATTGGGATGGTCTCCGTCAGTGACCTCTAGTACTCCAAATTTGTTTTTAAGAACGGGGTTAATCTCTTCTTCTTTTAGTCCAAGTTTTCTATAGAGTCTGAAAATATTTTTTCTCCACATTTTTCTTGCCAGGTTTCCTAGTAATAGATTTGCCACTTCCTCCTCACTTTTTCCTACCGATTCAATGAGTCGCTCGATTTCTAACTCGATATAATCGATAAGTTCTGTAAATACATTGTGGTTAAAATTGAAAAAATATATACATTGCAATGGATACACCATGACTTAGGCTATCTATTTTAACATTTTGACAACTAATGACTACAATTAGATCTATTGATAATTTCAAGATATTATGATATACTTGATTAACATCTCGACTTCTAAATTGTTGGAAACTTTTCATTGTATTACATTTTTTGAGTTATAGTTTGTCTGACACGTTACGGTACGTGATATGAAACCCCAATCGAAACAGTCAAGCTATTGATAATTGTCCAATCTTCACGTTATCTTCGCAAAATACTCTATTGACTGCATGAAATATGTGCAGTTAGGCATTAAAAGTAGTAATTGTTTGCTTCAAGGCTGGTCAAATTTACGTTGTATCACAAAATAATAGTAATAATAAGTTATATATACTTGACGAATTCCAGAATAAGTCTTTAGTAGCTGAAGTCAACGGTCTCCCACTGTAGTACTGAAATTCGGAGTCTTTTGGTGGAGAGTAGCGAGGCCAACTCTCTATTTCGAGATTTGTATCTTCAGATAGGTACTGTTAAGAATTACCAATGACGTTGTTTTGTTAATAATTTGCTCAGATCAAAATGGAGAAGAGAAATCGCAAAAGTTTAGCTAAAATACAGATTCGTCCCTAAATGCCAATTCTCAGTAGATGACAATCAGACAATCCCAAGTCATGAGGCCATAGAACCATTGAGGTGGGAAAATGGATGAGGAATACAGTGGGTGACATAGAGTATTATTTATGAGGAAAACAAGGAACGAAGGAAAATTAAGGCTAACTGATACAGTTGTTTTCAATAATGCACTTTAATCATTTGCTCCGGAACTAACCTCATAAACAGGATTTCCCTCGCGCCATGATCCACTGAGCTCCACGTTCAAACATATGACCTTTGAACTCTGTTGTAAATATTCGGCCTCCAATGCGGTCAGTTGCCTTGAGAATAGTTACATCAGGACTGGCCATTTTCAATAAACCGAGCAGCAGATAATTCCACTTACTCCTGCGCCGAATGATCACAACTTTCTTGCTGTTACAAGTCCGTGAAGGCCCGGAGTAACCAAAAACAAACACGTCATAAGAATACATCCTGATTTTATAGCATAGTGGATTTGTTTGAACCTGGGGGGGTTAAATTAAAAAAAATGCTAAATCTATCTTTTTTGAGGTTTTTTAAGGTTTTAACTGAGGGCAATTGGGAATTTACTACATATTGCCACTCAACCAGAAACGTACAAAGCAAACGTGGAACTTAGTACGTGAAAATCTCAGGGCAATGCCCGCAATGTTCGAACTATTCTAAAAACTTTTTATTAACTACTTAACAATTTATAGTCAATATACTAACATGGTAAATTAGAATAATGCGCACTTTTCTATCGTGACAACGATGCCATAAAATTGACTACTATTTCATAATTATTCATTTTTTTAATCACAATTTCCTCGACGTGCGTTCTTCACATTTACCCCGAGGGTATGTTTTTGACAACTTCGACTGTAATTCCATAACTTTGTAGTTTTAAACTGAGCAATTTTATACATAATTCGCCATTTCAAATTATATTTTGTGGTTCTACATAATGAAAAACGATAGATACTTTGTGACTCTCATGTTGACAATATTATCGTAACATCAATAAACTACCGAAAAGCTATCGTGCGCACCCGCACCATGATCATATTTCAGGTTAATGCCTTCGGTCCATGTTAGACAATTTTGTTGTCACATGCTCAATTTAGGTGACGATCAAATTGGTTGCTATTGTGAAAAATTATTTTATCACGAGGGAATTATGAAAAGGAATATTTCTTTATTTAAGGTGTGTGTGAACTGCGCCCGCAAAGAAATATTGTGCGACGCGCGGATAAGTGCCAATTATGAATGTTGTATCAGCGAAACGAGTTTTCAGTTTAGTTAATCATGGTACGTTCGAGTAATTTAATCTCTTTGCGTCGCAAGCATACCAGCGTCATATTAGCAAAACTAGCTAGCAAAATCCTGTTGCAAATTGCACAATGTTATAAAACGTGTTTATCATTGAATTCGTTAAAGTAGGCGTGACAATAAATTTGAATAGCCAGTTTTCTTTAGAAATGTTTGCGTTTCAACTCAACATTTCTGCAAGGAACTCTAGCAATGCCGTAAGATCAATAATGAAAAAAAAATATTTTTTGTGCTTGCAACCTACAAAATTGATTCGTTCCGGAATCCCTTCGTAGGTGGGAGGACGGCGGTTGGAGGAAGGGCAAAAATTGACAGCGGATAGGGAACGTAACGTACGAAATGAGCACACGCACACATGATAATTTTTTTTATTTCATTAGCTTTTGTTTTAAATGTTACGCGTATCATCGTTTTCTCACTAAATTTCGCTAGCAACACATTGTACGTATTCGCGGCCCGCGGGAAACAAACGGGGACGATGGCATGGAAGATAATTTATTCAATCAAAACGTGGACGGCGGCACTAAGATGTGTGCGTCATATTCGATATCTTGCCACGAAAAACTATATTCGAAAGGTTGCCATATTCGACATACCCGAAATCCTAACATACCCGACTCAGACATATTCTTTTTTGTGTATATTATATTTGTCTTTTTATTTAGTTTTAAAATAAAATTTGACATCATTACCCGTGAAAAGGATGTCATAGTCTTGATGGTCAGGCCATAGTAAATGGGCCAAAACGGGCTTTTAAGGTCTGGGGCCTGTCAATTGGCCAGTCAAGCTGTCAGTCAGTCACGCTAAAGTGATTTTGGGGGTTAAAGGCCGTTTAGCTTCGTTTCCAGGGTCGGAAGCGTTTGTCCGAGCCTTGGGAATTTTTCCAAGTATAATTGGGTGCGGGGGCACTGCCCCCACGCCCTCTGTGGTGAGAAAACTCGTGCAAACCACGCTCCACTTAGGTTCTATTGTTTTTAGGCAATTCTGAGGCATATGAATGGGGTTTTGGGCAAAGATTTGCTTAATTCTCAAAGAGTATAACTGATTGAAGTTTTCTTTACCGAAAAATCGGTGTTTCCCCTTCCAATCGCCCCTCCAGTGGCGTAAGAAGGTTGCGCACTTAAAAATGGAGCTATTGAGAAATAAAATAGATAGGTATCGTTGGAAAATTTAGTTCAACATTTTTTTGAAGAAATTTTTTTTCTCCTACTCCCCAGTCACGCTTTAGTGATTTTGGCTTATTGCAGGCCTCTGAAGGAACTTATTAATAAAGTAAAGGCATGGGCATGTTTAGAAAAATTATTTGAATCCATTTTAAAAAAAAAAAAATTCTCCAGCTCCTCAGTCACGCTCCAGTGATTTTATGTTATATCTCGAGAATGGTAAAAGGCAGAGATGCCATTTTTGGGTCATACAAGGTAGTTGAGGTCTAGTTTATGTCAAAAAAAATTCGTCATGGTGGAGTGATCACGGACCTTAAAATTGGAAAAAATTCGACTCTAGTTAGGGGTGATCAGTTTATTATGTGGTATTTGAACTTCTTAGTGGACTAGAAGGGTCGGGGGCAGAGCGCCGGACAAATTTCCGTCATTCGTCCGGCGCAGCGACCCGTGTCCTCCAACAAACTCCAAACAAACATCTGCTTCTTAACTTACTAAAAATATTTCTATACATTTCCCCTAGCGGGTAGCGTAGCGACCTCCCCTGTATTGATATTTGAGTCGATTTTCCCCTAAGATTTTCGTGACCTTTTGACCCCTGGTGATCTCAGTTGAACTCGTATTACCCAAATAAAGAATTGGGACAAAATAGCATGCAAAGGCTAATAATTTGTGCAATGTGCGAGATTAATAGAAAGAAAAACTTCGAAGATAGTGGACAGTCAATTTTCCCTACCCCTGATTTATTGATCGAAATGTATGGGCGGTTACGCAAGATATAAATTCCAATTTCTCGCTAATTGCCGGGTTTCAGAAATAGAAACCAAGGTTAATCTTGCTCTAAATTTCAGGTACAAACTTTACACACGAGATCGGCCACAGCGGATGCATTATTAGTCTTTCCAAGCTTTCCCAGCGATGAAGCTACCAGTAAGCTGTTTCGTTTACACCTAAGTTTTTGAAACATAACTAAAAACTGATGAATAGCATTCGAAAGTATGAAGACGAGTCGATGCTTACAAACATGATTGAAAATCTACCTGAACAATTTTTTTTTAATTGTTACCTAACCATTAAAATATTGAGGTTTGGTCACTGCTACCAATACAAACAAGCATGTAAAATTTGGGCCTTTTTTGCGAGAAGTATCCACCGTCCAATGTCCAAGTCTAATAGTCGAAGTCGATAGCAATGTTTCAGATACAGAGGGTATGGCAAATAAATGAAAAAAGAAATCGGCATCTACTCTCCGTGGAATTCCATTTCAACGGCTTTTATATTTCGTCAGTCAAATTATAACTCCTGGCGTATAGATTTTATTGGATGGCATATCTATACGCAAAAAGGTACAATTGATACACGGAAACTCGGGAAAACGAATAAAATCCAAAGTTAAAAACCTGAACATATGATGACAAATTCGGAATGAATTTTTGATATTGATAAACTATGCCATTAAACGATTTCACTTAACTGACGTTTTCCGACCCAGGAGCGTCACGAATGGCTTTAATTTTGGTATCCGTTTAGGGGAGCCCATTACAATCAACTCTGTATCCACAAAATTTAACGCTGTTTAACTTTTGCAGACGCATGGGAAGTTTTCAATACTGTCCAAGTGCTCAGTGTTATTACCTCAATTCTTCCTTCGACTCCTCTCTAACCCCCATTTGCAAATAAGCTTGTTTCAATCTAGTTTGCTGAAGTCTTGTCCTCCTGTGAAAAGGTTATCTATTGTTGGTAATGGATTTTGATCTACACAAAAAACAGGATTCACAGTCGCTTTAAATTAAGCGCAAAGTCTTAATTTATAGTCCTTTTTGAGAATCGGAACTATTGGAGTAGCCCCTCATTAAACATGATTTTTGTGTAATTATACCATGGCGTCCAAGCCTTTCCAAAGCCGCTTCGATTTTATGCCGCAAAGGGTACATGCATACAAGGTAAGAATTTAGGTGTGACGCCCTTTTTCAAAACCAGTTCGGATTTTGTCCCTTTTATGCAGCCCAAGTTTATCAGAATATACACCACTGTATTTTTCTAATAAATCTTTCAATCGAGTTGTGGTTTCGGTAGAACTGGTTACGTTACCTCACGTATAGTGAAAATCTGGTACTCCTGAAGTATGCGCACCAAGATGTCGCATTACCTGAACCCTAACCTAGTACACAACCTGAGTTCAGGATGTGCGCCATCTTGGAGCGCATACTTCTGGAGGTCCGAAAATCTTTAATCAGTCCAACTGAATTTAATGCAGCCAGTCAAAATAGGACCTCGTCGCTGTGCTCGTTACGTACAATATGGATTTGCAACTAGCCATCAATATTTACATTGAACTTAAAAGTCGCTCAATGGATATATCTTATCCCCGGAATAGGGTTTCAAGTAAACTTTTGTATTATTCAAACGGAATAAATCGTAAACATTTTTGAAATGATAGACACAGCTGATTCTGTATGTAGCTCCAAGTGTTTTTCTACTGATAATGGGACAAATTCAAATTGCGCTATTTTCGTTTTATTTACGCTATTCATATATAAATTACCAACCTCTACTAAATGACGAATCCGACGAATTCAACTAAGTAGGGCTGTCATTGCCGTCGTTCTCCATAACATTTGTACTATCATTATTGCTGTAACTCCATGTCTTTTTTTCGACATCACTGTTAACTACGTCATACACACCTAATGAATATGACATCGGCGATCATAGTTACAATTATGTATTCAATA